ATACACCCAAATGCGCCATGTTGAAGTTTGCCTTTACTACAGGAACAAATGATTCCCTCAAGAGTGAACCTTCTTAAGTTAAACAGCTTGCAGAGGAATAAACCCGGTCATGACAGGAAAAGTCGCAGCGTTTGTATGTTATTGAGAAAGGGCCACCATGTGCCTCTTTTCATGGTTTCACCACTAAAGTGGTCTACTGCAGCACTGCTGCAGGATAGCTCATGCTGATACTAGTCCCAACACTCACCTCTTTCCTAAACAAAAGGATATATAATGGCCTCCCCTCATTTTTAGTAGGTGTTAAATGCCATCTTCTGTATTATTACCTTTTAGGCTTACTGCGGCTTTGTTTGGAAAGGATGTGGCTTGGGCCTGAAGTACAGAGACACTTTCTCCGCAGCAAACCTCGCCAAGTTTTGGATCCCTGATGTTGGTGGACTTCAGTTCCAGAAAGCTCAGGCCAGCATGAACAATTGTGGGAGTTGCTGTTCTCCACAACACCTATGGAACTCAAGACTGGGAAGCACTGCTCTAAAGCAAATATCCAACAGCCCCTGCTGGTATAGAGAATGGAGGAGAAATTGGGGGAAAGGCAGCATACAGATGAAACAAATCATATACTAGATGGTGGGGAGTTGCAGTCCTAAACTATGTTCAGCCTAGGTACAGACAGCGGGTGGGATCCAGTGCTGTCTGACTCTGACAGATGTTGCTTCCATGAGTAGAATCTGGGGGATGCCATTTCTTTTAGCTTGCTGCAGCATGGGCCAGAGGGCTGGGAAGCCCTCCACAGTAGGTTCTGAGGCAGCAAGAAGAACTGAAAGGGGGAACAGTAAAAGGAATGAAGATGTCAGACTGGATGTAAATGTTTATCTAAAAGACGGTATTACCAGACTTCCACCCTTAGCTTAAATTGCTTTTAAAAGGTCCTATTCTCCAATAGGCCCCAAGACATTTCAGTGCCTTCTGTGGAAACCTCATATGCAGTTTCTAATCCTATGAATTTACAATTAGGTCTAATCCACCTGGAAACAACAGACAAAAGTAAGGCTCTAGTTAATTCTAATAGGACTTGCATGGAAAATTCTTCTGTGCAAGGTGGACAGATCTTTCCCCCCATGCTAGGGTTTGCTCTCTTTCCAACAGCAAAGACCAAGTTTCAGATGGCTTTGCCTGAATCCAACAGTATTCTTTCTGAGACTAATTAATTAGCTTCAGAGAACTATCACCTGCAGTGACTCTTTCAGAATCCTCAATTTTTTATTCTTCTTGTTTTGCTGTCTCCCATATCTACAGTTTCTGATGATAATATTCATGCCTTGATTTTTAAGGTCAAGCTAATTACTTATCCTTCTGACCCAATCCCCTCTAACTGGCTCCCGGGACTCGTTCCTCAGAACTAAATGAAGCTATTAAAAATTCTCCACTCTCCATAGGGAATCTGCCCTTGTGATATTTGGCTATGCTTTGGTGAGTCTTATTTAAAATAAATCTTTAAGCTTATTAAACTTTCCCTAAATACCTCCCTGATTATCTTTGCTTCTTTGCTTCTTCCTAATTTGTATAGCCTATTATTTATCTTGGATTATATATTAACTGCAGGATCATGTTTGCATCTGAAGGCTTGGACTCTCTAATGCTGTGACAAGATACTGGATTCAGACTCCTCTATGACACAAGATGGGAGGAAGCAGTAGGAATCTGAAGTGTTAGCTACACCTGACAGTGGCCAGCTGTTTTAGAGACTTGAGAAAACTGAACAGGGTCTGTGAATCTAATATCAAACGATGGGATATATGAACTTAATACCAAATGACTAGTAAAGTTGCAGGCTGTCAACTCCTCTTTTTTGCACTGATTTCCTTCAAGGTGTCCTAAAGCAGGTGACCATAATCATCATCAGCTGCCAAAAGCTATATATGTAATCCCCCTGCTTCTCTGAAAACCCCATTCTGCCTATGACAAAGATGGATATTCAAAAATATCTGTATCTGAATTTCTTGATGCTGAAACTACAGTAGGTGATCTAAAATGACTGTCTCTATTACAACAGAGGGTCTGGAGAGGCTTCTTTAGTTTTCTGAAAGTTAGTTCAACACATTTTTGCCTTAGCGCCTGAAAAGAAGCAGGTTCACCACAGTACGGTTCTAGTAGTATGCTGTCCTGTCAGATTTTGGACAGCAGTAGTATTTCAGCGGAATCTCCTGGACCACAGGCTGTGATTGACTTATAGTACAACAAAAGCCAAAAGTCTTTCAACTGGTTAATCAAGATTTGAATGTCCTACAAGTTCTCAGTATGTTCTGACTTCTTTTTCAGCAGCAGAATATATACAATCACTCTTAGGTTTTAACTAAAGAAATGTTTTGTGTCAAATTTTTGAGTGGTACAGACAGCTTCTGACAAATACCATTTGGGTATAGGTTTTAGATACTGTTACTTTACAGCAGGCATGACTTGCCACACTGCAAGAAATGGGTATATTATTCCCGACAAATAAGTGCTATGAATCAGTTCATTAGATTGTTCTCTAATTTTGGGGGTAGGTGGCTGGGTCTCTGGTCCTCAGGGCCGACCAGTCAAAAGAAGGCGACTAAACGACTAAACACACACATCAGTTCATTAGATTGTTATCTTATTTTGGGGGGGGTGGCTGGGTCTCTGGTCCTCAGGGCCAACCAGTCGAAAGAAGGTTCGGGCTCCACATCCTCAAGCTCCATCCTATGTAGATGATGCTGTGAGAGGAAGAATGTGTGCTACTATCTCTCATTAGGAAGAACCTCCACTAATCATTTAAACGGAGTCCAACATATTCTTCCACTCTTCTTGTGTAGTTTACACAGAAATAATGAGGAATGAGACATCTAGACTTGTTTGGACTCTACTTAATACCACTCCCACAGAAGCTCAGATCATAAATTCAGCCATTCTGTTCCACTGTCCGGTGATTATAAAATAATAACAAAAACATATTTGTCCCAAAACTGAGAGATCTGAATTCCTTTAAAGAACCAAACCAAACCAAACCGGATTCTGTTATAAATAACCCTCTGCCAGTCTCATCAAATCATTATTGACTTGAAATGTAAGAGATTGTTATTCTGCTTTGTGGCAGATAAAACAGAATGGTTTGCCTTGGCAAGTGAATTTCTGGTCCTTTGGAGGAAATAATTTTAAATGAGCTAGAAACAACCAACGACATTCCATATAATCAAGAAGTGAGAATAAAGGACCACATTTGTTCTATGACTCCTTCAATAAACATGTCATATGAAACAATTTAGGTAAATGGAGTGTATTCTTATTTGCTTACAACAAGCTTAGCCTCTCTTCCCCTGGTCTCCATCCTCTTCCACCATAATCATACAGAAGACAGTGTGTCCAAACCCAGCAAATTGTGGTTAATCTTAACCATAGTTGGCAGAAGCAAGACATCTTCAAATCACAGCTGTTTTCAGTAATCATAGCTGGATTTGTAATGGAAGTTTCATGTTACACAGTAAATTTAAAATGTAAGCAGTTGAATCTTATCTCTTCCTCACCACCATTTGTACCTTATTCGTACCTGCTGATGTCACTGAATTAATTATTTATAGTTACTTGCTGCATTCCTTCCACTAATAACCAGATTTTGTTACCAACGATAATGACAATATGCACCATCTTGGATGAACATAATATATTCACCGAACAAACTAAAAAGTCATGTTAAAGGGCAAGAAGCCCTGAACAGAAGCAACAACACCAAAATACAGAACTGCAGTTGCTAAATGTTAGGCCAAAGAAGAGAAAAGCAGGGAGAATAGTCACAGTACCCCATCCCTCTTAACTGCTCTACAAGCTCTCAAGCCGGGGTTGTTTGCTGCTCAGAGCAGTTAAGAGGCCTGCTCTAGCTGGCTATGGACTGCCATTGTCTGCAGCCATAGCTGGTGTACCTAATGTGGCACCGATACAGAATAATTCCGCTTGAAACAGAATAATGTTCTCAAAGTACCGTAATTTCTTTCCCTTTGAGATGCTTCTTTCTTCTAAAGACCTGCCTGCAAATTTATTTGCTCCCACAAAATGGCAATTAAGCACACTTTCACACATCTCATTTAAATTATACACAACAACAACAATGGAAACATAAGGCTGGATTATACTTCAACTAGTTAGCATCTGATCATTACTAACAGAGTGTAGATAATAATCACATATCATTAAGTCAATTCCAATTTATGGCAACCCCTTCCAGGGTTTTTCAGGTCGAGAGTACTCACAAATGTTTTACCATTTCCCTTTTTTGGGGGCACCCTGGGACCGTGGAGCCTGTCCATGGCTATACAGGCTGGCTCTTCTCTCAGGAGGCACAGTGGAAAATAGAACTCTGACTCTCTGGTTTCTCAGCCAGAAACATAAACCACTGAGCCATCCAGCCGTGCACGGTGTAGACAGCACTATATTAAATTTTCTTCTGTGTCAGCAATAATCCCCCAATAGCCTTGTAACTCAGCATAAAGCTTCACATATCTCAATGCGTCACATAGGTAAAGGTTCCCCTTGATATTTTGTCCAGTCGTGTCTGACTCTAGGGTGTGGTGCTCATTCCCGTCTCCAAGCCGTAGAACCAGTGTTTGTCTGAAGACAGTTTCCGTGGTCACGTGGCCAGCGCGACTAGACATGGAACACCGTTACCTTCCCACTGTGGTGGTACTTATTTACCTACTCGCATTTACGTGCATGTTTTTGAACTGCTAGGTTGGCAGGAGATGGGACAAGCGATGAGAACTCACTTCGTTGCATGGATTTGATCTTACGACTGCTGGTCTTCCAACCCTGCAGCACAGAGTCTTCTGCGGTTTAACCTGCAGCACCACCACGTCACATAGAGCTAACACATTATTCTGAAATGTTTTTATAGCACACTCCATCCTATTTAGTGTTTTGGGTTGGTTCTGATCAACCACATCACATTACAAATACAATAAAAGAGATTAAATGTTCTTAGTTATTCTCACCTTTTCAATTTTCTCATCTAGCATTCTGAAGAATTCTTGTTGGCTTTCAGAGATGTGCATGCTGTAACACAGAAAGAACAGCACATTATGATTCTGTGAGGTATTCACACTCTGACACAGTTCATTCCAGAGATGTGCATGCTGTAACACAGAAAGATGATGCTGTGAGGTATTCGCACTCTGACACAGTTCATTCAAAAAATATAGTTCCTTCATCAATTTTAGGATTTAGGTTACTACTGCAAGAAAAAGAGAGCAACCCAAATGCAGTGCCTTTCTGCGTTAGCATGAGTACTAATCAAGACTAACGCCCCTCCCAATTCTGATGGATAAGTAAATGATGTACAATTCAGTATTATAGTCAAGACTCATGTTCAGTTCTTACCCATGTCCATTTCTTATAAGCACCTTGAAAACCATCAAGTTTATAAACCAAGGCCTCAGCTGAACTATTTGTGGGCATCATTTTTAACTCCGTTATGGCAAACTTTACTGGATGAAGCTATGGTTAAGACTTCATGTGTCACATTTTACACCATTTTATTGCAATTTTCTTAACAGATCCCATAAGGTTTTCATAATGTGTATTCTTTGAAAATCAAATAACTGGCTAACAGGCAAATTATTTAGCAGCTAAAAATACTTGATCATTCATTTATGCCATTGAAATACAGTGACTGCCAGACACCGTTCTGTAGGCCCGTATTTCCCCGTGGATATGTGGTTTTGAGTAGATGAGCATGCTTATTACTTCTTTTGTGAGGTCTCGGCTCCAAAGATTTGTGGTGATGTGGTGCCACCTGTTCCCCTGCAGATATGCAAGGCAAAGAGGACGAGGAGAAGGAACAGCAGCATATCGGCACTCCACCCAACAGTGCTCATCTTCAAAGCAACTTGGGTGTTCCTGCAGTGGATGAATATTGGAGCCAGATGTCACCCTCTATCCTTTCCTGGTTGCATTCCAACTGCATATTGTATCCTTCAGCTCGAGCCCCCACCCCAAAGAGTGTAGTCTGTCCAGTAGCCATGAAAAATGCATTATAGTCACCAGCGCCTATTAAAGAACATCAACAGCTCTTGGCTAACCACAAAAAGAACAGAACTTTCACCTCTTCAGCTGAAACAGCACGGTATCATCCTGGTTAGCAAAATGCTCCCCTATGCAAAAACATCTGGAAAACGGGCTGGAGAAAAATAAAGAGATTCTGCTAGAATCTTTTGTTTTGGCACTAGAGATTTACACATACTCTTGGTGCAACTGTGTACATTTATCTTACCGGCAACAAAAATGTTTATTCTTAACATTCCCTGTTATGCATTAATGCAGCCATGAGAACTGAGGAAAAGATACCACTCTGGCCAGCCTGTGGTGTAAGTACCCACCGACAGGAAGCAGGAGTTTCTGGAAAGCCTAGACAGAAGCAGGAGGGACGGTAACCTGCCCGTGACCACATCAGACGTCCACCACTTTTATCCTCCTGGCATGTGGCTGCCATCTGCTCCTCAACCCAGCAGACTAAAGAAAAAACAATCCTGAGACACAGACAGGGTCCATCTGTGTTGTAGTATGGCACTATCTCATATTTTAGTTGAACTGTGTTCCCTCTATCATTGTTCCAAATGAGAAGACAGATCCCTGCTTACTTTTAGAAGACTTTATTTCACGTAACTATCTGGATTGTGTCCCTGTCCATTCCTACTAATACCGTATTTTTTGCAATATAAGACACACTTTTTCCCCACAAAACAGGGGGGTGGAAAGTCTGTGCGTCTTATAGAGCAAAGAAAACAGATTATATTTTCCTGTTTTCTTCTCCTAAAAAATTGGTGCGTCTTATGGAAAGGTGTGTCTTATGGAACGAAAAATACGGTAATTATTATGTGCTTTCACATCCATTTTGATGTATCACAGCCACTTCCAGGTTCTCTAACTATACAGCATTTGGAAGTGGATTACCATTCTCTTCTTCTGGGGATCTCTGGGATAATGCAGCTTGTTCAAGATCATGCAGCCTGGCTCTTCCCCTGCAAGACACTATGAGTAATCAAACTCCCAACCACATTCCCTCTAAGGCAGTGCTCCCCAACATTTTTAGTGCCAGGGACCAGTTTTGTTGAAGACCATT